CCTGGCTTGACGAGACACAAAATACGACCAACGAAAAAAACAACAACAACAAAACCCCGGGGCATTCTATCTATAATCAGACCTTGTACAAACTGAATAGTCTTCCAGAAGCTTCTAGAGACGTTTCTGTAGCGCTGGACTGGCGTGACATCACTTGGGACTGTAAACAACCTGACTCAGCACCCTGAACCTGCTCCTGTCTCCCCTCCTCCCACTGGAGATGTCTCCAGGAGCAGAGCACTGGATACTATCAGAATAAGCTGAGAGGTCAGAGACAACGAGATAAGAGATCCATGACATTTTATGGAGATACACATGGAGACACAAACAGAGACAGTGGGTTCACTGTGCCCCTAATTGCGATGACACTGAGAGCTCTGGCTGCTCTCAGCAAATCTGATTGCAGCCTTTGCCTAATCTCATTTTTCAACCAGCTCAGCAACGCTGTGCAAAGCCAACAGGAAGAGTTTCTACCTCACCCTTCCTTTCATCAGCCAGTCGTCCCCAAGATTTGCAGCCAGCAGCACCCACCAGGCACACCAGACCCTTTCCTGCCCATCAAAAAGGCACCTCCACCCCCACCAAGCTCACAATGTCTCCACCTAAGGCCTCCTACTGATGTCAGAGGACTTCAGATCAGATGGGCTGACATGCAACGGAGAGGAGTAGGAAACCACAAGCACCAGAGGTGGGAAGGAATGGATGCCTGCAAGCCCTCTGTATCCATTTCCCACTACACAAATTCCAGACACAGAGAACAGAGGTAAGGAAAGCAATCTGGAAGCTGGCTGTGCTCCTTTCATGTCGGTTCCAGCTGCCACTTCAAGACACAGGCTCTCCTTCCACATCAACCTGACTGCATATCTCCTCACAAGAGAACAGAAAGCAGCCTTCAAATCCTGCAATCCTGCAAATCCTGCTCCTGAGGCCACGTTGGCCTCAGGCAAGTGCCAAGAAGAAGGGTTGGATGGATTCTGTTCAGCTTGGGAGCCTCAGATTCATAGACCCTCCCCCCCCACACACACCCCATTTAAGCTGTATAAACTTCTGAGAGCAAAACTACCCTTTGGAAAAAAAGTTTTCCAGCAAAAAGGATCACAGATGCCACGGAAAGATGGATGCCTTCCATCTTCAAAGCACGAGGCAGCACACACTGAAACAGTCTGGTGCCCCAGAGCAGCAGCCGAGCGTGACAAATGACGGAGTGATTGTGCAAACAAGGTCAGCCCTCAGGACCCAAATGTCTTTACACCTGGAAAAGCAATCAGGCTTCCCTGATACCGAGGAATTTAGATCAAGAGAAAAAGAAGGAGACAGTCTTTGGGAGACCAAAGTTGCTTTGGAGTCTGCGGCCACCGAGCTGGATGTCACATTTCCCACTGCTCCAGACTGAAGGGGTGGCAGTGCTTGGATGACTTAGATGCCAGGTCACTGTTAGCTCATCTTGATCAAGATGTGATGTCACCCTTCCTATTTTTTAAACTGACATCGATATCATGGTTGAACAACATTTCTTCTGGCTCCTGCAGGAGATGATGATCTAGATGATGTCCAGATGATCCAGGCAGCTTCCAACCCTGAACTGCCTGAGTACAAATGCCCCAAAACTGTGTTGCTTCTAGCCCACCCAGGGTTTTCTTTCTATTTTTTACCTGCATTGCCACCTTCTATTTGCTGTTTTGTGCCCTCTTGTCTGCTTTTTGTGAACCTTGCATGTAGAACAGTCTTAATCTATCCATATGCTCGACAAACACAGGAGTATTACATATTTCAGTGAACAGCAAAATTAAATTTCCAGTCAGTTCAGAATCCAGGTTTCATCTGCCTTTTCACTGCTTACAAAAGATGAATATTAATATCTATTTGCTGCAAGAAAAACCAGGGAGGAGGAACTCGGGACAGAGGGAACTGGTGTCTAGTTTGCTACTCTGACATTCGAGTAAACTTATTAATTATAAAAGACGTACACGCACGAATGGACAAAGACCAACCGCAACACACCAGGTCAGCTCAACAAAATGAGAAATGGCATTTATAAATTTATATTGGATTTCAACGGAATAATGAAAAATGAATCTGAGGACGGCGACAGATTTTGAACCCACACCTTGACAGACAGAGCTGAAATGCTGTGGGGGCAGAAGATGCAGGGCAAAATGGTGAATTAATAAAGGAATAGATTATTAAATCCCAAGATCTCGCTCCACTGTAACCAAACATGGCTCCTTTCCTATGCACCACTTCCCAGAGTAGGAATGTCGCTATTCAGTGCTCACAATGAGAATACACATCAGCCTAAGGTCTGATCTGCACCACGTTTTAAATAAACCTTGCAAAAGGATAAATGCGATATGCTGTGGTGAAGACACGGCACACGGTGGGAAATAAGGAGCCTGCTTCTACATTTGGTAGTGATTTGCCAAGGAACAGAAAACAACTTGGTATCTCCGTTTCAGGCTTCCTACCATGACCGTGGGAGATGATGGAAGTCAGTCAAGCACAGGGTAAATCAAGCCAACAGGTCACAGAATCATGGAACCATTAAGGCTGGAAAAAACTTCTAAGGTCATTGAGTCCAACCATTAACCCAACACCCCTCTGTCCCCAGCTACCAAATCCCCAAGTGCCACATCCACACACCTTCTGAACACTTCCAGGGGTGGTAATTCCACCACTTTCACTGTTCCACTGCCTGACCACCCTTTCAGTGAAGAAATTTTTCCTAATATCCTCCAGTAGCACGTCCTCTCATCCTAAATGTGGAGACTGTGGAGAGGAGGGAATTAAAATACTATCACATTGGCCATATGATGGACAGTGGTCTCCAAAGCCTAATGTCCAAGAGAGAAAAAGATGGAAGGAAGGGCTGTGTGTTCTGCTTGGTGTTCTCTTATAATTGTTTTGTTTCATTGGGGGGGTTCTGAGATTTTTGGGTTGTTTTGGGTTTTGTTTGGGGTTTTTTTTGGCTTTGGTTTGGTTTTTGGTGTTTGGTTTTGGTTTTTGGGTTATTTTTTTAACTGGGAACTGAAAGAAAACCCGTGAGGTGCTGTGCAGCAGTTTTCAAGTTTCTTTCCAGTCAGAGGTCAACACCCAGGAAGGTAAAACGAAACATGTTTTTAAAAAAATCAAATGCCAGTGAACGTGGACATCAGACAAAGGGTGGCTTGGGACACCCCCACGGTGCCATGGAAGCAAAGGACACCTTGGAAAAGACAGAATCACAGAGTCAATCAAATTGGGAAAGATCTCTAAGATCATTGAGTGCAACTGTTAACTGAGCACTGCCAAGGCCACAATGGAAAATAGAAAGAGGGAGCCACAAACCCACACAATCGAGGTGAGAACTAGAGATATCTCCAAGTATTTCACGGATACCGAGAGGAGAAAACAGTCAACACAATCATCCCAAGCAGTGACTAACTGGAACATGGGCATGGAGACAACTACTATGCAACCACAGCCCAGAGCACTGAATGCCACGTCCAGTCTTTCCTTGAACACCTCCAGGGATGGGGAATTCAAACCTCCCTGGGTAGCCCTTTCCAAGGCCTTTCAGTGAAGAAATTCTTCCCACTTCAACCTCCTCTGGTGCAGCTTGAGCCTGTTTCCTCTTGTCCTGTTGCAGAAGTGTCCTGGGAGAAAAGACCAACCCCTACCTGACTACAACCTCATTTCAGGGAGTTGTAGGGAGTGAGAAGGTCCCCCCTGAGCCTCCTTTTCTCCAGGCTGAGCCCCCCCAGCTCCCTCAGCTGCTCCTCACAGACCCTCCAGACCCTTCACCAGCTTTACTGCCCTGCTCTGGACACGCTCCAGCACCTCAATGTCCTCGCCTTCCCCCAAGAATAACCTCAAAGAAAGGTCAAGAAACCACTGTGCTCACATGTATTTATACACCCACGCAAAACCTGTTAGGAATACTGCAATCCAAACAAGTTGCCATTGCTTTTTCTTCTTCATACCAACCCTTTAGCTCGTGAGGAGGTGAGGAGAGTCAGCTTGTAGCCTCTGCTGACAGAAGCCCTTCTGACATTTCTATCCCTTGCTCTGCCCATTGTGCTTCTGCAGTTACTCCACCTTTATCTCCTCACACAAGACTACAAAAGATTTCTGAACAATGGCCACGCTGGGAGATGAAGGGAAAAACCACGTGGCAAAAAAAAAAAAAAAAAAAAAAAAAATCCACGTGCTCCAACAATGAGGAAATGCAGAAAGATCCTCAGGACTGCATTGGGTTCTGTGGCCACCTACCAGGACTCCAAGCTCAGAGTCAGCAGTGGCTGGGAGATGATTTTCCTGCCAGAATACAGTGAATTTGCTAAAAATCCCTCTGTTGAACCTGCACTGGGCCACCGGGCATGTTTGAGGAAAAACAACCATTGTCAATTTTCCAACTCATTCACTTTTGCCAAGACCCCTCACCGATGGAGAACGTCGTTGATCCCTTAATTCTTTCAAGTGGTTCTTAAACACCCCATCAATCTGCTGTTCACGGGAGGACTTTCTGCCTGTGTTTTTAAAACACAACACAAAATCTCCCTGAGGCAGGAGGAAGGGTGGGCACCTGGACTGGCAGCATTTCAACTTCTCCCCTCCTCAAATAAAACAACAACACCAAAAAAAGAATGTAAAAAATAGAAAAAGAAAAAAAAAAAAGGTTTCTAAAGCAAGGGATGATCCACAGTGGGAGCAAAATCACAGGCAGGCAAGGAATTGCTGGCATTGTTCGTAACAAGGCAACAGGATGAAAATTAAGCAGTGTGGACTAAGGAACAAGCAATTGAGATGTTTTTGACCACAGACATTCACCAGAGGGATGCAGCAGAAAAACACAGCCACAAATTTGCCCAAATCCTAGGAAAACACGACTAAAAACCACCCTCATCTGCCAGGGAGGGGGAGGCTCTCCATGATAGAGTGGAGCCTCCTGGCACAACTCCTGCCTGCAGCAGAGTAGGGCAGGCAAGCGCAGGATTAGCATAGCAGGAGAAAAGAGATTTCACCTCGTTTGAAGGCTCACAGGCAAGGATGACAAGACAGAGTGCACGGAGCATCTGGATGTGTAAATATGTGCTGTCAAAGGAGCTTCTCTTCTCCAGACCAGCTCCACTCTCAAAGCAGAGACAGATCACGGCATGAGGCAGCCTGGGGAGAGCTCAACTCATCCCCTTCCCATCTTTCTTTCACCTTGAAGACAAAAATTTTTGGGGTGCATCCACCCACCCTCACGCTGACAAAGCTGTACGGGTCAGGCCTGCTCTGCCACAGCCCCCAATCAGCTACGAGCCAGAGACCATCAAAAGCCCTATTTCAGCTCATTTCCCGGCTTTGTTCACATTGTAGGACTACCTCCTTCCTGCTGATAAGCTCCTGTAGCACATGATGGCACCAAAGGGAACCAAGTGCAAATATCAAGGAGGAAAAGCGGCTCCGCTTCAGCGCGTGACTCATGAGAGAAGGACTCCAAGCCCTGAAGGAGCCAAAGCAAACCAGCTGACTGGCAAACCCTGCACAGGAGAGAAAATCTGCCTTTAAAAAACACAGACTGCATTTTTTGCTGTTGTATTTTTTAGGCAATTATCCATATATATATATATATATATATATATATATATATATATATATATATAAGACCCTGATGAAGGCAGGACATACAATGTGGGATGGAAATGTCTAAATAAAGGTGCCAAGCTGCCATCTCAGGTGCCCTGTGGGGCTGGCAGACCTGTCTGGTGATGCACAGCCTTCCAGGCTGGCAGAAGAGTGGGAACCATCTCCAAATTAAGGCGCCTAAATCACAAACTTTTTGAGTTGGAAAGACCTTTAAGATCATCGAGTCCAACCATTAAACCGGCACTGAGAAGCCCACCAATAAACCATGTCCCCAAGTGCCACACCTACGTGTCTTTTAAATCCCTCCTGGGGTGGTGACTCCACCACTGCCCTGGGAAACCTCTTCCAGTGCTTGACAACTCTTTCAGTGAAAAAAAACCACAAAACAAAAACAACAACTTAAAATTTATCTTTATCATTATTACCACTCTTTTCTGTGATTTATCTAATTCTGCCACTTTCTTCCTGATGCAGTAGAAGAACTAAACAGGTGAGGTCATGTCAGACTGGGAAAAGAATGTTGGAGTGGTGGAAAAGCCCATAAAATAACATCCCATGAATTCCCGAGTCATCTGGAAAAGGCAAATCACCCCTTCTTTTTCCAGTGCAAAAACTGGGCAGGGGGGGGGGTAAGGAAGCAAGTCCAGGAGACAGGAATGAAAGAAAGGAGATTCTCCTCCTCTTAGTAAAGACTAAGTAAGAAAGAACTTCATTTCGTGGGCTGTTGTGCATCCTGAAATCTTGCACAGGCTTAAAAATGCAACAGGCCTATGAAAAGAAGAAGGAGGGTAAAAAAAGGAAGAATAAAAATACATTGTGTGGGATTAAATGTACCACCTCTGACTGCAGAAACTTGGGAAAACACTGGGAGAAGCCCTGTCTGCCCTGTTCTCATGCTCTTCGCAAACCAGCCACCACTAACCACGTAACAGGCCTAATTTTGGCTCATCTTTGCACATCTCTCTCCTGACCCATTTTGTCTCTTCACATGACAATTCCAGAAGGAAATCCTTCAGGAAAATACAGAACTGGACTGCTCAAGAGCTGCCAGGGTACTTGAAATTCGCCTCTTCTGGTCAGCTGCTGTGCCTTGCCTCTTTCCATGACCACGATGACTGTGCCCTCCACTCAATCCCAGTACCTTGGACTTATAGACAAGGTCAGACACAACCCCAAGGGCCATATTTGAAGACAACCAGATCTCCACCACCCAAGAGTGAAGAGAAAGGAGAAAAGAAGAAAGCCAGAGCATTACCACAGGCCTGTCACACACCAAGGCTTCACAGCTGAGCTTCCTTCTGTGTTCAGGAAGGCTCAAACCTAAATCCATCAGTGCATTTATGAAGGTAAACTCTCTCTGGAGATTAAAGCCAGGAACAGGCACGAGGAACCAACAGGTGCCAAGTTCACACCTGATGAGGGACGTGAAAAAGATGCATCTGTGTTGTGCTTCACTTTACTGCTTTTAACAAAAATACTGTAATTATGTTGTGTAATTACATCCCTGTAAGGGAGGAATGTCAATTAAGGTGGTTAGGAGGTATAAAAACAGTTAGGTCCCACTAAGGTGAGGTGAGAGATAGACCTTGCTCTCCTGGATCTGCTCTCAGCCATGGATGGTGATGCCCACAGCACTCCCATCCCACTGGCATTCCCAAAACACAGAATAGAAACACAGACTCCCACACAGGATTTTTTTTTTTTTTTAATTCTCTATCCAAGCCTTTCTAATCTCACTGGTCCTATTTTTTTATTGTTTGGTGGTTGTTTTTATTGACTTGACCCTATGTAAATGGCAGGATCCACATTTGAGAACTGTTTCCTCTTGCCCTTTTCAGACAGACAGCCAGGTTTCTAACTTCTATTTTCTTTTTTTTTTTTTTTTTTTTTTTTTTTTTTTTTTTTTTTTTTTTTTTTGTCTCAGAAGCCTTTTTCAACCTGAATAAAGCACCATTCTGAAAATGGAATAAATAAAACATAACAGGAAGGAGACTGTAATGGAGTTGGGACATGGACCAAAAGAACTTGTATTTCCAATGTTCTTTTGCACCGTTTGCTTGTGTTACATTCAAAGCTTTGGGAAACCATCCAAACCGACACAGATAGGAAATAATCCACGGAAATTACAGCTGCAAAAAGGGTTTTGATGGGGAAAATGAAACTGAAAATTCAAGGACGAGGTGAAAAGCATGGAATGGCTTGTGCAGGAAGAGAAATGTCCAAAAAACAAATGGTGGATGGAGGAGATTTGCCACCACCACTCCCAAAAAATGAAGTGACAAAGACAATGAAAGAGGCCCTGTGAAAAAACTAATTGGACCAGAGTTGGAAGACTTTTCATCCTTTCCACAGGTTTTTGCTTCCCCACTTATTTCAGTGGAGGGTTTAGGAGATCTCTAATGGGTTTGGCCACTTCCCTCCCCATGTGAATAAACCACAGGAAAGTCCAAGCTCCTGAAAGCAAGGGAAAGATGAATGAGCTGGAGACTACACAGGCCTTCAGACCAGGCATAAAATATTTACCTAAACCAATCACAGTCTCAGGGCAAAGCTCCCCAGCTTGGATCTTCCCAAGGAGCATGAGGTCCACATCCCTTCCAATATCCCCTGAATGAAAGGCTGAACCTCTTTGGAGAGCTCTTAGAGGAGCCTGGTGGGAGGGAATGTGGTGGTTGGTGAGACCCCAGAGCACATAAAGCTCTTCTGAAGACACATCATCCAAAGTCCAAAGGCACCCCTCCATTTTCAGAACCACTCACAAGCTCGTGGCTCCTCTTGTCTGACATTTTTACAAAGCATGGAGTGACAGGACGAGGGGGAATGGCTTCAAACTGAAAGAAGGCAGGTTTAGATTAGATATCAGGAAGAAATCCTTTACTGTGAGGGTGGGGAGGCCCTGGCACAGGTTGCCCAGAGAAGCTGTGGCTGCCCCATCCCTGGAAGTGTCCAAGGCCAGGCTGGATGAGGCTTGGAGCAGCCTGAGACATTGGAAGGGTGTTGGCACTGGATGAGTTTCAAGGTCCCCTCCTACCCAAACCATTCTATGATCCTATGATTTGTAGTCTCCTTGATAAATAACCTAAGTCCCATTTAACTTGAAAAAAAAAATATTACTCAAAAGGCACATCAGCTCCATAAAGATGAAAACTCTCTTTAAATTTAAAGAGGATGGAAAAGCTCACCCACTGTACCTTTCAAATCAACCCCCAATTTCACTATTAGGAAGCAAATAAACACTGCAACTGGAGCATAAAGGAAACAGTTTAAGGTCAAATGAAACCACAAACAATTCAGGCAATTAAGATCATGGGAGCACTGGGAGAGTGCAGGGAGTTGTGTCTAATGGGTTCGTTCTACAGTGCGACCAGAAATATTTATTCAAATCGAGCAGAGCCTCCCTCTTTTTGCTGCCTTAATCCAAAGAGTAAATATTTTCCAAGAAAGGTATGAGAATCTGTCCCCTAATGATGCCATGCCCATAAAAATCAGAAGGTACTGTTGTTGTTTCAACTAAGTATCATAAAAGCCTCCATCGATTAAATTCTGCCAGGCAATGTACATATTGCAGATGTTTCAGAATAAACAGTTTCAGTGCAGAACTGAGTGTGTCACACCCCAGCAGGGAGGGGTATTCCCACCTAAAACTGCTCTAAGGAAAAACATGCCTGTAACAGGCCATTATTTTGCAGGGAAGCTTCTTTACCTCCATTTTCCACTAGTTCAAAAAGTTGAGACGCTCTCTGCAGATAAAATTAGGAGAAAATATGAAAGAACTGAAAGGCTAAAAAAAGAAATCTGGTCCAGATGGATCCCCGGCTGAATTCTATAAAATATTTACAGATCTTCTGTCACCAAAACTTACGTTTCTTTTTGATGAGGTGGAAACCAAAGGCTCTCCACCTGTCTTGGTTTTATTTTTTGCTTTTAAACCCTTCAGGGAAGATATAATAATGTTATTTAGGAAAAAGGAGAAAAAAATCCCCCCAAAAAAACCCCAACAAACAAGGAAAAAACCCCACCCAAACCCAACAGATTTTAATCTCAGCTGTAATTACTGCAGGTGACTCCAATTAATCAACGTTGATTCTAAAACTCTATTAAAAAAAAAAAAAAAAAAAAAGATATTGTCCCTCGTGTTTAATTTAGCCCAAAGTTGTTCCCTACATTCCAAGTTCAGGAGTTTGATCATTAAAACAGGCTTAGCTCGGATAAGCACAGCCTGATACCACCATCACTCACACAGTGAATTAACAGCCCAGTCCCACAACAGTGCTGTTTCTAGAGACCAAAAAGATGCTTCATCATGTGTCATAAGGGTAAAACATCCTCTTTTTCATTTAAGGTCAGCTAAAAAGTTCTCAGTTTTCTCCTCCTAAATCTTTATGTTCCATTTGCCAACACCCAGACTGACAGAGCTCAGCTCCCTCGAGGAGGAGGGAGAAGTTTATTTAGACTGGTTTTATATT